TTAGCCTTATCAACTACGGAGCTAAGTGCGTCGTCGTGCATCGACGCACGATCGATGATAAAAAGACACTTGCTGTCCTTTTAGAAAAAAGCAGCTTGCTACGGCACCGCCATATAGCGAAAAAGCTATACTCTTTCTCCTCCCCCTTCCCTTTCTTTCTCGCGGCGATTCTCTTTCTCTTGTACACAGTCTGCCGTAAATTTGTCACTTCTCTATATTCCGAGGATCCTCCGATATCAGTTCGACGATATGAAAGAATCCGACCGGGACTTTCGTTCGCGTGTTCGCGCATGAAATTATGACGTGAAAGTAAACTGAGGTGCTCGAAATCGCATATTCTCGCGGCTTCGCCCCTAATCTACACTTGCTGATACGCCAATGCCGATCGATCATTGCCAAAGATTCTTTAAATCCTTTAGAAAGACTCCAATAATAATCTCGATATTTTCTCTTGTAAAACGCTGATTTTTTTATTTATTAAAAATTATTGACAAAAATTAATATAAAATTATCTTCTTTCGCATTATTACATATCATTTATTTCCTTTTCATTATTTTATATTTCATTATCAATAAAACACAAAAAAAGATCTGTTAAAATAAACAAATGTACGATATAAAATCTATTACTTTAATAGATTTTGTCATAATATTCTAAAAATTTACAAATTCGAAGATTTTCCAGTTTTAAAAAATAGAAAAATGAAAAACAGCCGCGGAAAGATAAAAAATAAATATAAAAAAAAAAATGCATAATCACGAGGAGTTCTGTTATATTTCTCTTTATTACGAATCTACGCAACGATCAAAATTATTTTGCGATAGCATCGATCGATCCGTGCAAAGCCGCGATAAATAATTGTAACTTCTTGAAACGCCGCTAAAACTTCCTCTTTGTTCCTTTCCCTTTCGCTCGCGACAGGAACTTAGAAGAGCGAATAATAGCGCATACCGTCGACTAATGTGGATTCTTATTAAAAATTGAAAGCAGTAGGGAGTACAGACGACACGTGCGTTTATCGTGCACGTATCATAAGTCATTGAGAAAAATTTCTACACGCTTCCGATCGCACGAGGAACTTGAAGCAATTCAAAAGCTGTCTGCCGCATTAATTTCAATAATCACTCACTTTGAAACATACACGAATATGTTAAAGTTTCTATTATAAAAGCCAATATTTCTCTGCAGGCATCATTTTGTGCAAAAATACAAAATTAAAAAAAATCTATCGATAGAACTCGTTAGCGCAAGAAAAAAAAATAGACTTCTACTTCATAGATCTAGACTTCATCTTATTTTTAGAGGCAATATCGAACCCATTTCGATGCCTCCAACGTCGTTCGAAATTTTTATCGCGCGTGCTGCGAAAACGAAATTCAAGTTCCTCCCGACGTCGATCGAGCAGGCGTGCTGCGTTTAATCTGCGTTTCCAAAGTAGCAAATTGGATAAAGTTGGGATAAAGAATGACAAGGACACGAACTACAAACAAAACTTAAAAACGAACGAAAGATAGAGAATACTAAAACGCTGCTTGCTTGGCAATTGCTCATTTGGCACTCTGAGAAAACGTACGATCGAGACAAAACGATCGGAGAAGGACTCAAAACGCGATCGTCCTTACCTCCGGCACTAAACGCACGAGAAATTAATTAATCCGGGAGTTTAACTTGTTTGCGCACAGAAAACGCGCGTCGTCCGTCTCGCCGATGTTATCGGTTGTCCGAGGAAGATTTTCATCTAGACGCATCCTCAAGATGCTCTTAACTGCGCGTTTTCCTGTGCATATGTATCTTATTTTTTTTTATTTTTTCACTTTTCACCCCCCTCATTATTTGTCTCCTTTCCTTCGATTTTCAATGAATTCGTCACAAGCGAAACTGCACGACTACTTTAAACTAATGATTTTTTAAAATCGTTGAAAAACAGAAAGAATTTGCATCTGTTAATATTATATTTCTTCGGAAAATGCGTCAAAAACTTAATTTGGAAACTCTGTATAAAAAAAATGTGTGGAATTATAATTCATTAGTTTTAACGAGAGATATGTCAAAATTATAATTAATTACTCAGTTCGTACTGATACATTTCCGAATGCTACGATATTTCCATGCACAATAGAACAAAATAAAATTCAAAATTAAATTGTTTTCAGCTATTTCAGTATCTATTATAAAAAAAATGTATTGCTTATTCAAAAAAATGAAATAAAACAATGTTGATTTTCGATTCGATGCACTTTGATGCCACAATGGAACAGAATGAAATTTGAAATTAAATTGCTTTCAGCTACTTCAATATCTATTATAAAAAAATGTATTGCTTGTTCAAGAAAATGAAATAAAACGATTTGGTTGATTTTCGATGCGACGTGTGTAATAAAAGCCAACGAAAATTCTTACACATAGACAAAGTAGACGCGCAGCTTCACGATTCTCATTGCGTTAACACGCTTTTTAAGGTACAATTTCGCAGCGAAGCTTCGCTGGCGAAGTTCTCCCATTACGCCGTGAATGAAGGGACATTGTTCAAGTGTTCGCTAGGTGGTTAGTACGGTTTGTACAATCAAATTGCGAAAGCGTGTCGTTTTGAAAAAAAATAAAGACTGCAGACAAAAAGATGGATAGCAGCCAATACCTGCATTACGTGGAGCAGTTTAAACGTACAATTGCAGTTATTATAGAACAAGATATTAGAAGACGACATATAGCCGGAGTAGCTGCTGTGATACATCATGTGGAAAGTAAAAAACGGCGATATGAGATAAAACCTCAATAAAAAGTCATTTGCTACATTTGTAGGTTATGATCGTTTTCGATCACATGTAGTTAGAGTTGCCAGGTCGCCGAGATTTCCGGGAAAGTCGGTTGTCCAATAATTGAAGTTTTTTGTCCCGGAAATACATAATTTTAACGAAATCCCAGGATTCATATTTTTAGGTCATTTATCGCGATCGCAACCGTCGACACTTACATTAAAGATATAAATAATCAGAAAAAAACTTTCAAGAAAACTATACATTCTAATTTTCGACTCGCCTTTCTATTTTAACCTTCTAACCGTGTTCGTTTCGGGTATACTTTGACCATGTTCAGGGTCTAAATAGACCCAATGATGAAAACTCATTATTTAATTAACATATATGTATGTATTTTTTTTATTTTCTTTATTTAGCATTATATAAAGTAATTTAGTACAATATATACTGACTTTTTCTAAAATAATAGCCGTACAAATAATTGGATTTAATGTTCGATAGGTTTAGTTTACACAGATTGTTTAGTACGCGTACCAAATACTAAATTTGCTGGGTCGAAAAAGATCCGAACACGGTTAGAAGATTAAAAAAAAAAAAAAGAAACACGAACACCTAGCAACGGCTCTTTTGCCTTTTCTCCCAAGATTATTTGTTAATTTATTGGAGCCTTAGTATTATTATTAATTTTGTTAAAAAAAAAACAATCTATAAGCGTTAATGTTAAAATAAATGATTGAGCACTGAGATTCAGCTACGGCTCTATTTGCTTTATATTATTTTTCCTATTATAAAATAATAGAAGAGTCCTCAACTATTATTAATTGTCACTGGTTGTAATAAATGAGATAACTAGTGCTCAAAATCAGATAGAAATATAGAAATATATTTGTGTATATAACATACATACAGCGCGAATAGCGAACGTGAGCAAGAACATAAACTAACTAAGAACTAAAGAAAGTAATGCGCTTATAACGCCTAATGCCATCTATAGCACGTGAGGACTCAACTCCTGACATTAATTATTGTTAAAAAAAAGTTATTTCAGTTTAAAATGTTATAAGAAAATGATCACAGTGTACCATGATTTATATGGACACACTAACTGATACAAGATTTAAATAAAATACTTTAATAATACTCAAATACTTTAATAATCCATTTTTTTAACCATCGCCTCAGACATATCCCGGAAATGTTGGTATTAAATCTGGCAAATCTACATGTAGCGTAGCGTCACAGAACAGAGCGGGTGTTTTTCGTTTGTTTCGCTGCGTTGCTTCGCTGATAGTTGGGCAATGTCGAACTATGAAGGTGCCTTTTCACGCTGACGCTCGACGCTCATTTTTAGCGTCAAAATAGGTCACGTGATCAAAGTTGACGCTAGATTGTGAGAAATGCATGAAAAGAGTTTCTCGTCAAATTTAGCGTCAGTCAGCGGTCAGCGTCGGTATTCATCAGTATTCGTATATATCAAAACTGCTAAAAGTTTTTGTCACTGATTTTGTTCAGTTAATTTTTTCACTCGCTTTATTAATAATTACTGTTTTAAATATTAAAAAAAGTGTAATTAAGTAGGAATAAGATAAAAACCTTTGGTTACCAGTTCTACTTATTTTATCGAAAATGCTAAGAAAAAGATATATATGGTTATCAGAATTCACAAAATTATTGAAACAAAACCGACGACGTAAAAAACTTGTGGTAGCAGTTCTGATAAACGAATTGTAACAACAAAAAAGAAATTATCGTAAAAAACGTTATTGGATAAATCCAATATTTATGGAACGATATAATCATGGATTTTATCACGCAATCTTTTCTGTTATTATTTTAGAAGAAATGCAATTTAGAAATTATTTTCGTATGACTCCTGCACAATTTGAAGAGTTACTAAATTTAGTAGCACTATTTATTATGAAACAAACAGTGATCCGGGAGCCTCTAGCCAGGGAGAACAACAGGTCTAAGAAACGTCTAATAGACGTCTATAGATATCTAATAGACGTCTATAGATATCTAAGACGTCTATAGACGTCTTCTGCGTTTTTCTGCGGAAGAACGGTAACCATAGCACGCACAGACAGATCATCGCACAGATCGCACGACTTGACGCTAAAGCTGAAAAAATCCAGCTTCTTTTTCTTGACGCTAGCGTCAACTCGAAGTCACGTGACTATGGGCAACGCTGAAACGAGCGTCCCATGAATTTGCACCTTGCGCGTTCCTTCGCTGACTACGTATTTTCACACGAATCGGCGAAGTGGGAGAACTTGGCCAGCGAAGCTTCGCTGCATGAAATTGTACCTTTACACACGGGGCACTGCATTACCTCCTAGACACACTTCCCGACGTATGGATTAAGTATACTTTTTTTAAATCGAAGTAACGTAAAAAAGGTACACGATCGACTATACTACCATGAGAACGGTGGGCGGTCTGTTTGTGGGACGGCCGCTATTGGTGGACAGCAACGACCAGCATCGCCAGAAAAAAAGAAGGTTCTCTTCTCTCCATATATTTTGCTTCTCTCTCCCACTTAATATGTTTATATACACTGGCTACTCCTCGGGCGATCACGACTTTCCGCGAGAATCGTCCGATGGTCGATCGAGGGACGACAGAACCGAAGAGCTGGTGCCGTTCGTTTTTCGTCTAAACTGAGAGAACCGTGTGTACACAGCGAGAGCGAAAGTCCGTCTCGACCACGGACTAAGGAATAGAGGGACGGAGCACAAGCTGTACCGGGGGAGCACATTTGCGGCGGGGGAGGGGGGGGGGCGGCCATATTCGTTTAGTAATCACCACACATAGAACTCACTATTTGCGTATGTGTGAATAAAATTATGTAGTAAGATAATGTTTCAAAATGTCTTCTCCAAGAAAAATTTTACTCGATATAATATAGTATACATTACGTGTAGTATATATTTCTAAAATTTTCCTTGAAAAGAACGTTTTGGAACCTAATCTAAATAATAAGATGAACTTCTTATCTATGTAAACTAATTTTTAAATTTTGCTCTAATGTTTTTTGAAGTTCGCTTTTCCTTTCATTTTTTTCATTAGTTATGGAGCAGCCTGGTACTATATATCTAACCATTTTTTATAAAATTTATAGTACAACAATAATGAAACCGCCTAACCTCTTTACGCTTGTCACTCGTTATGTCTAGTGGCACCACTACACGAGTGTAACCATGTCACAGACACAGAATCTCTGTGTGAGAATCGCTACATCAATATGGCGGAAAGCAGTCCTCCCCCGCACGCTTGAATTACCATCCCCTCTCGCCTAAACTAGGACTTTAGACTCGGTCCCCTTTATTCCTTAGTCCGTGGTCTCGACCGATTGGTTTCTTCCTTTTGATGATTTACTTTTACCGATTGGCGCGAATTTTGTCTGTCCTTTGGTAACGTTCCTGTCTCAAGTCGCGGAAAGTCGCGACGCGCGCCCGATCGAATCAACGTTGAAACCCATCGAATGAGTCGTAGATCCTTAAACAAAATCAACATGGCCGCCATAAACGTATAAACTAATAAAATGTAAAAAAAACAACGTTCTCGATTATCTAAGTAACAAACGATAGTTATTTCATCTTTCTTTCCCCCTCTCAATCTTTCCTAGAAAGTAGCCTTTTCTTCTTCTTTTTTTTTTTATACACGTTTACAATAAAGGGAATCGACCTTTTTTTCCGTGTCTAATATTGTGTTATCTCTGCCTAAATTTTTTGTATTTTTCTTATCTTTAAAGAAATTTAACTATAAAACGGGAGACGACGAAATTGCCACTTATTCGAAATTTTCGAAATCATTCGCCTAAAATCACCTAAGATGATTCTGCTAGTAGTCGAACGAATTTTTCCAACAAAAAATTTCACTAATTAATTACAGACTTACATCCGAGAAATATATAATGATTAAAATATGTAGATATATTACTAAAAAATTAATTGCCACTCATTCAACGAATCGCACGATAAATGCGTAGAAACTTAAACAGCAATATATGGAGAAAAGAAAATGCATTAGTTTTGCGATTCTCGTCCGCATCGTCGAACAAAACAGTCGGCGAGGTCGCCGATTCGGCGTCTCCCGTTTAAAATCAAGCTAGACAAACCTACAGTCGCCGTTAAAAAGAAATATCTTAAATTTTATTAGTACTACGAAGAACGCGCTAAGGGGCTCGCGCATACCGTCGTTTGTGCTAAACGCGAAAATGTGAATTAAAACACGCGTTATTGAAGAACACAGCCGTTGATTTGTTCATCGTTTCCGGCTGTTTCGAAAACAAAGATTCCTAAAAGATTAAACGAAATAATCAGCTATTAATCGAAATAAAAAGACCTCCTAAAGCAAATTAAGAGTAATAACATCGGTGGATTCGATCGACAATACGCGCTGGGAAAGACCGCGGCCCCCGAACGCGTTCGCCATTGTCAAATCTCTTACGGAGTCGAAGAGAGAGGATTTCTAAAGCACGGTCGTCCGGAACAAGGAGATCGATTTGTAAAAGAGGGGATACAGGTCGGCCGCGGTGCGCAAACGGCGGCGGTTCGCTAAGTTCTCTAATGGTTACGGCCACTGGCTGTAGAGCTGAAATTGCTCGCGGGTGAAGCAAGCCGAGAGTGGCTTCACGAAGTGGGCGTCGACCGCCCTGCAGTGCGGGCAGGCGAAGACGCGGCTGTAGTCCGAGTAGAAGTTCAGCCGCTGATGAGGGTAGATCAGGGGTTTCTGGCAGCTGTTGCACTGGAACGAAAACGGTACGACACGGTGCGTTCATTTCGTGAAATGTGTCTTCGCCGACGTAACGGACTTGCGATAGAATGAGCGAGCACTTCTTCCACCGTTTAATTCACCGTTCACCCGCAATTTCCGGTTTATCGCAGTACTTGTAATATTTTCAGACTACACAAACCGTTTCAGTAACTATTTCCGAGATGGATAAATTTGAAAAAATAGCATTAAAGTAATGAATCAAAAAGAATTTAAGAAATATGGAATAAAGTTAAAATTTAATCTGCATGTCAAACCACGAGAATTAAAGTAAATCTTTGAGAAACAGAGAAAGTAAAATTCTTATTTATTCCGATATTTACTCCGACAAAATAAAAAATCACGTTGTTAAAGTTTGTTAAAGTCGACTAGAAGAGCCCATCGACACTCGCGTGTCGAAGAGTCGGAAGTTCGATCGGGTCGAGGCTCGTCACGAATTCGGGACTCACCTTGAGTCGCTCGCTGCAGCAAGGCATGGCAGCGAAGATATCGTAACTGTACATAGTGCCGAGGACCAAGCTCGAACCGTCCCACGGTTGAGTACAGAAACGACAGCGTACGGGTTGTCCGCCGCTGCCCTCCAAACAGCTCATGCACACGGCTGACAAAAATTGCGTGCGACCTTCGACCTTCACCTGGAACGAAATACCGGAGAACCGGATGTGCTATCGTAATCTTACACGTGCAGCATGCTGCGGTTAAATCGCGGGCGAGAAGCACGATCGTGACCAAAAAATCATCTGACGATAACTAGAGCTTCTTTCTCGCAAGATTCTGCGTGCTAAATTAATGCTAAATTAATGCTAAATTAATCGGCCAATCGATTGCTAATTTGTACCCAGAAAAAATATATCTTCTACATAATCCTTCTATATCTATATATAACTTTGCACGCATTACAGATAACTACTGCATTTTATTATCTAATTAAGGTAACATTAAGATACGCGCTACAATCTTCCTCGAGCATTTGACAAGAAAGAATAATATGACAACTATTAATTTTTTTCATTCTGAGATAGTTTACTTTCTTAATAAGCTATCAAAACTTTTTATATTAAAATGATTTGCTTTCAAAAATTTATTCTTCCAAACCTTCTTCCAATTCTTCCAAATTTATAACAGATATGATGATGAAACATACCTCAGCACAAGCGGGCGAGTGTTGTCTGGGTGACAAGAAGAATGTGCCGTCCACCAACGGATACCTATCAAAGACCAGCATAGCAGCGCGGCAAAGAACGCACGTAACTCTAGACCACTGTAGGGCGGCCAATGTCGACAGGATGAAGCATCTGGTATCATCGTTACCGTGATTGCCTTCGTCTTCCATCTGAAAGCAGATTATTAACAAATATATTATTACGCGCAATCGTACATATCGTAGTGCATTATTTATATAACATATAAAAATGTGAATTATAAGTCGTAAATTTATTTCTCTGTCAAAAATATTGAAAAAAGAAAATAAATTTTTCTCCAAAATTAATTATAACTTCAACAGTGTGTGTATTGCGTCGAATAGAAAACTCCGGGCGGAAACGCTAGCCGATAACAATGTCCTATCCCCTCGTTCGATCTCGCTTCCGGTCTGCTTGCGATAATTTTAATGCAGAATTCTCCATCTGGTTTGTATGCGCGTGAGAAGTAATAACGTCGGCGACGTCAACAAAGCTCGCTTCCTCTCCGCCCGCTCTGGTCGTTAAACAGTTCCGTGGGACGTTTGCTCTAGACCTTGGGCGAGGGGGAAGGGAGGCGGGGGAAGGGGCCCTGATATCGCGGTTGTAAAAAGACCGACGACGACGAAGGCGGGCTGCGCGAGGGTGGAAAATCCAAAGAATGCAACGGCGCGGATCTCAATAGCGGATAAACTGCGAAGGCGGTGGCTCCGAAGCGTCGTAAAGATTTTCGCGACGAGTGAGAAGGTCGGGTGGAAGAAGGATGCAGCGACGAAACGCGTTTTACCTGGATCACGACTGCGAAGCGTATCCCGTGAGAGACGGGAGCCCGGATGGAAGTTTCGCAGAGCGCGCGTAGAAGGTTCTCATAATCGGCGTGGGGAAAAGAGCAACAACAAGGCACAACGAGGTACTTCCGAAAGATGCGTCAGCGAGCCTTAACGGAGGCTGGGAAAAGTCTGCTAGAAAAGCCAAAGGCGGAAGCACAAGTCGAGGCGGGTGTATCGCCTGTAGCGGCAGGCTTTAATAACGAACCCGACGACCGAGACGAAAACGGCAGCGAAAGAGGCGCGAAGCGCGTGGCACCGGCAATAGGAAAGAAAATTGGAAGTCGCGCTGAAAGTGACGACGGAAAGATCGGCAAAAGCAGCCGCGGCGAAGGAAGCAGAAACGAGCGATTCTGTGCCGGCAATGGAAAAAAAAAAAGAACCACCGGTAGGCGACGCTTATAACCATCGTAAATAATCAGTTTCTTTTATCCCGTTATCGCGGGAAAAAGGAAAATTGAACGAGAGTGGAAAAAGGTGTGCTCGGAGAACGAACTAGTTAAATTATCGCGTCACCTTTGCAATTGATTAAGAAGATACGGTCGCTAATTGAATATAAAAAGCAGGAAGTAAGCCGATCATCGGCAGACGTTTTCAATTTATTTTTTAATTTAAACGCCGAGACACATGACAGATTGAGATGAATTTCTCATATGACTTTCGAAGACCGAGGCCAAGGTCCTCAGCTTTGTTCCTTCAATACGTGACGTCCTGTTGGTCTGCGAGATTCCTCGAAGATGAAAGTATATTTCCAGACTGTGGAGAGAGATCTCCTCGAGTGCTTGGAGCGACCGCTCGACGGGCACAATCGCGCGCGGGGAAGAAGAGAAGGAGGACGACGGAACAAACGAAAGAAAAGAGAGACGAAAAAGAAAAAAAGCAGAAAAATATCTCTCGGAGCCTCCTCCGACCGGCGCATTCGAAGAGATTCAAGAAGAGAGAGCGAGAGTCCTTGACGCATCCTCTCCTCGGACGCTCGAGAGAATCGTACGGACCACGTACATCCATTTATCCGTCCATCCATCTCGCCATGAGGACTCAATGCCAATGTCGAGGAAATAAATTGAATTGGTACGTCGCGAGTGTGTTCGAATCGTTGCCGCACGGCGGTACGATCTGGGCGGGCACGATCGACGAGAAACACTCCAAGTTTTTTTACGACTTCGATTAAAGGGCGTTGTGCACCGCTGATACGACACAATATACTTTCTGCAGTTTTATTACGACTCGTAAGCCTATCGTGTGCGTGAAATACCTTACACGAAATACAACAACTGCCTCCGAGATATGCTCATTGAAATGTGAGTAGATATTGCTTAATAAGATTACTAAAGAAATATCGGTTACGTAAATATGCGTGAGAAGCGTATCTTTTATTACTTATAATTAATTATTTCCATTGGCATAATTTACGGTTTGTGCCACGCTGAAAATTTATTCGTTTAATTCACACGTTTTATTTTCATAAAATTTGCCAACACTTTTTTTCACACACGGTTCGTCAATTTTACAATATTTTCAGCGTAAGGTAAAAAATTATGTAGTTTCAAAAGAAGTCAACGATGGCAACAACGGCGAGAAAGGGTTAACGTACTCCGATAATTTCGACAAGCCTGTCTAAAAACCGAGGGGAAGAAAAGGCGCTGGGAAACGACAAGGGCGGATCGTAAATCGTGGTGTACCGTAAAAGGACTTACGTCGGCGGCGTCGCGGATTATCGGAATTCAATAATGTGGGACGATACAAATAAATGGAAAAATCCACCGCCGTACGCTCGACGGTGCAAAATAATAAAGAACGAATGTTAATGTGGATTACGAGATCGCATTTTCCTCCTTATTACTTGGTTCAACTTGGTTTATATCGAGTATGATATAATAAGATTCTTAAAAGAAAAAAGATTGCTCGATAAAAGCAAACTGAAAAAAAAACTCAAGATCACAGTGTTTTATCTTATACTTTGTAGTTCTAAATTTTTTTTATCTGTATTAAAAACTGTAAATGTAAAAATCCGGTAACTACTTGCGCAATAAAAATTTATTCGCAGAATTAAAACTTTACGTTGCATTATAAGTCACGTTACTTAATGCTAATCGATGAGATATTTCATTTCTTCGGCACGGTCTCGTAGACCGAATTAAAACGATTTCTTTCGACGTAAAGAATCGTGAATTCAGCCTTACCGCTCTAAAGGTAAAGGGAGGGAAAGGAGAAGGAGACGTATTCGGTGCTAAAACCGCTTGACTTCATTTTATGTACATTGTGCCAAGAAGACGACGATCTTCTCTCGCAGGTAGAGGAAGTGGAAAAGGGAGAAGGCATAGGGGATGCAGAAAAAAGGTACCGCTGGGGATTTTTTAGGGTTCCTAAGGACGCCCTTATTTAGAGCCTTAACATCAGCGCGGAGTCGGCCATAGGACGCGAGACGATAAAAGGTGGTATATAGGCGAGCGTAAAATTCGTTACGATCGAACTTCGCCTACTTCCGCTACCGTCCTAAAAGGAGGATAAATAATTACTTACGAAAGACGCGAAAAGAAAATGCGAGAAGCAATTTCCGTGATTTTACAATTTCTGTCTTACTTTACGACAGTATAAAATAATTCTAATGGAAAAAAAACTTGTCCATCAATTCTCGTACTCTTTTTAAAAAAGCATTATAATGTTGAAGAATGCATCTAAAAGAAACAATTAATATTTATAAAATTAACACTACAATTTGCGACGGCAGATTGATTCATTCACGTAAGAAAATGGTTAATTACAAAACCTATTCAATTATATTACAATGTAATTAGCTTTACCGACAAAATTGTTTTTTTCTATCAAGATAATCTTTCAACGATAAGAACTTTTCTTGTTTTTAGTATGATATAATTAACGAAGAACTGCAATCTTTCACGAAAACTCTTTGTTTTCGTGGAAAAACTTCTTTCAGCCAAAACACAGACAATTAACTCACACGGAATGCAGCAACGTCGTAAATTCGTGCGAGAAGTAAGTGCACTCGTTGCATTCGCAGTTAACGCGAGTACGAGTCTGCCTGATGAATCGTCTTACTTTTTTTAAAAAGCGTTTTTAAACAGCATTCAACTAGCTAGACTAAAAAAATATTTACGAGATGCAAGATAAAGCAGTGTGAGAAACGAATATTCTATTTATATACTTTCCATATTTTTCAAAACAAAATCGTCACAATAAAATTTAATTTCTCATTAAACACATTTAATTGTAATATTTAGAGAGATTGAATATTTTCAATTTAATAAAAGTAAACATCGTGTCACAATATTGATAAAATAAATTTTTATACAACGAACAAAATTCAGTAATATTTTTGTGCTTTATGCTGTGGAATATAATAATATCGCCGAAAAATAGAGCCTGGATACATTTTATAATCCACACAAGCATTAACTTATAAAATATCAAAAGCTTATAAGCCTACAAATATATAATATCCCAGCGATTCGTACGAAATTAGAAACGTCGTACCAGTTCCAAATGATAAAGGCTGATCCAGAGGCTCAGAAAAGTTAAATGGAAAATAGAAAGTCGAGGATCAAGGACAAAGGGATTACTTAGTACGGCTGTCCATGTATTACAGCCAGAACAAAGGATTCACGAAGGATACCCCGCGCATCTTCAACGGTGGAAGGGTGCGGCAGCCCGGAGCGATAACAACTTTTCGTTGAAAGTTTCTCGTTTCGTTCTTCGTTCTTCCCCAATAAGGGAGCACCAAGCACTTTCCGTGTCGTTCTCCATGCAAGTGACCCACTGCCGTCCGCGGGAAGACGGACTGAACAAAGAGATCCTTCGTCAGGGTGCTCCTTCTAGCGTGAAAATAATCAACGGCGCCTTCCGAGACTTCATTTCCAGAAGTTTTGTAACGATAATAACTCTTTCGTGTCTCGCGCGCGATCTGATGATGATCTACGCCGCGCGCAAATAATTCCAGAGAACTTCCAATTAGCTTCTAATCGCGGCATTCAATTACGCCGAGAAGTTCTGCGAACGCAATGAGACTATCTGCAATGAGACTGACGAATACAGCTGACTCGAACGGTTACTTTCGATAATGTTCGCCGCTCGCAGTGTTCATCAATGTGGCGTCTAGGCGAACGTTATTGGAGTTATTCCGATAATACTCCCTCTTTTCGAAGCCTCCTCCCTCCTTCTGCACCCTCTCTGGGGGAATCGTGGCGTCTTTGTCGATGCAAGTGACCCACTGGCATTCGGGTAAGAAGATCCGAACAAAGAGATCCCTCCTCCACGACTCGTGTTCCTTCTCGCGTGAAAATAATCGATGGCGCTATACCCGGACACTC